TGTGCGATAGAAGTTCTCCTAATCATAAAACCATTAAGGTCAGCAGCCTGCACAGAAAAAGTAGTTAATGATTTTTGAAGGCATAAACTGACCTTGTGAATATTCCACCACTGCAAATCCTGCTCTCAAAGAGCCATCAGAGTCTCTCTAGCAGTGTCAATCCATGAACAGCACATGCCCATGTCAAGCGGCACTGTAGAGAGATCCTGGCAGACTTTGGCCAAATTGTAAACCTGCATTTCACAAATATGAAATTCCCCAAAGCTATTAATATTATCTCCCATATTAGTGCCATCAGTCAGGTAGGTCAGATGTGGCTGAGTGAGCATCTTCAGCAGTCTTGTCTGCTTGAGTGAGGAGAGAGTAAAAGATGAAGAAGCCACAAAAGCAGTTACTGCGTGGCTTTGTCAAAATAATCAATGGGTGGCCCATAACTATATGAGCAGTTTCCTTTATAATCGTGGCCACTTCTGCTGCATAACATACACAAGGCAGCTGCTTGCTTTCAACACTATCCAAAGTAACACTAGAGTACATTAGAACTGTCCTTGAACCCTTACATTTTACATTTTTGTTAAAGCACTCCATTAGCAGTAGTATCATCAATAGCTACATAATGTCCTCAGTCTCTATAGTCCAGTCAAATGTGGCATTTAAATCTCTCATGCCTTTTCTTTCACTAAAGCATTCAAGTTGAGATGTTTGGTCTACATATGATGAAACCAGACCAATGGATGCTCTTTTTAACTGCATTCTAGATATCAAATCCTGGATGGCAGAAAACTTTCTCCAGCTTAACCAGGACAAAACTAAGGTTTTAGTCATTGGTCCTGAGGCCCAGAGAGAGAAACTTTTACCCAAACTACAAACACAGTCTTTTAACCCTACTCCACAAGTGAAAAACCTGGGCGTCATTATTGACTCTGAGCTGACTTTTATTCCACACATTAAGAACATTACAAAAATTGGTTTCTATCACTTAAAAAACATAGCCAGAGTCCGCCCCATTCTCTCTCTGGCCAACACCGAGATGCTGATGCATGCTTTTATCACCAGTCGAATAGACTACTGTAATGCCCTGCTCTCTGGTCTTCCCAAAAAGAGTATTTCAGGTTTACAATTACTACAAAATTCAGCAGCACGTGTCCTGACGAGGACCAGAGGGCGGGACCACATTACACAGGTTTTAAAATCACTGCATTGGCTCCCTGTGAGTTTCAGGATCGATTTTAAAGTTCTTTTACTGGTTTTTAAATGTCTTAATGGTCTTGGGCCTTCTTATCTTTCAGAACTCCTTTTACCTTACGAACCCTCGCGGACCCTGCGCTCCTCCGGCAGCAGGCTCCTTGTCATTCCCAAAGTCAGGACACACACTCACGGAGAGGCGTCTTTTCAGTACTGTGGCCCTCGTCTATGGAACTGCAGCCGGAGGAGCTCAGGGCTGCAGAGAACGTTCATGTTTTTAAGAGTAGGCTCAAGACCCACCTTTTTAGCTTAGCTTTTGAATGAAATATCATATTTTTTTACTTGTTTCTACTATACACATTTTAATTTATATTTATTTATTTTAGACTTATTTTTAGGATATGCAGTGTTTCCTCTGTAGGAGCCCTCTGCATCAGGAGCAGAGGTCGGCTGTAGCTGTCGGGTCTGTCCCGTGGGCTCCTGGTGGAGAGTTGGAGCTTGGGCTTCATCTCTCCCCTGGCTCCTGTGGTGGTTCCTGGTGGTGGTGGACGTCTCTCTGCTCCTGATGTAGACGGCTCCTCTGATGATGCTTTCTCAACTGGTTCGCCTGTATTCAGCCTCACATTTTACTATGTGTCGTTTTATGTATTTTAGCAGGTTAATGTGTGTGTGTGTGTGTGTGGGGGGGGGTTTGGGTGTTTGGGTGTCTGTGATGTTTGGTTGTGTCGAGTTGGGCAGCTGTGGGGGTTGGGTTAGTGGGTGGATGGAAATGTGGGATTGTTTTTAATCTGTGTAAAGCACTTTGTGTTACATTTTTGTATGAAAAGTGCTTTATAAATAAAGTTTGATTGATTGATTGAGGTGTTAAATCACAGTGAGCCACTACTACCTCCTCCCCCACATAGATTACAATAGATGTTAATTCCCAATTTTCTCCCTCAATTTGATGAAATGCCTCACATCATCATAGTCTCTATCATAAAATAAAATACAATGTAGTGGGTCAATAGGAGGGTGGTATGGTGCAAGAGAACATATCCAAAGCTTCCATGCTAGGAAAGTGGACAACACCCCCTTTGTATGTCCAAGTGACTCTGGATTCAGCAAAGCCCAGTAGATGTCAGCACATGTTGGATCTGTAGGAGCCATCAGCCATTGTCCCTTAGAAGATCAAAAACAGTTACAGGAGAGAGCCTGTTCATCAGGTACAGTCACCATAATCCCATTAAGTCCACACAAAATAGTAGGTCTCGTCGCCATCAACAAGTCTCTCCCCAACAAATTCAGCGGAGTCTGTGGAGAATGCACCAAGTGGTGAAAAAGTGTCTGTCCAGCAATATGAGTTTTTAGGGGTTGAGTAAAAGGCAGAGTTTGTGGGGTCCCACCAGCAAGATAGAAGCATTTGATAACTCATTCAGAGAGGAGTAGCACCCGTATCCACCAGGGCACACACTTTCTGTCCATTCAGTATCATGGGGAGCAGTGATTCTGCCGTTTCTTCACTCCTGGGCTTCTCAGGCACCCCTAGTGTTTTTCTTCAGTATAGTATTTGCCATCAGATTTCATATGTCATCCACCAAAGTAGCCTCCATATCCACCAGGTTGTTGCCATGGCCTGGGAGGTGTCCCCTGCTGTGATTGGGGTGGGCTCTGTTCAGACGTTTGAGGCCGTCCTCCACCAGCTGGAGGCAGACTTAGGGGAGGGCCCTTGAATTGGGTGGACCATAACCAGCGTTTGACCTCTTTCATGTTCTCTGCCCCCACCACCTCACCATAAACCCTGCCACATCATAGCAGATAAATTTGTTTGAGTCGCTTTTTTAAAGTCCTTTTTTCTCTCTTTTGTAACTTCAGCTCTAGTCTTACTCAGTTGTCATTTTAACAACTGAATTTAAATGTCTTGATTTTCAGCGTTAAGTTTATCCTCTATGTATATACATTATATAATAATGCCCTGTGCCCATGATCCAAACATTTTCATACATTTATCATAATGCTCCACAGAATCTAACCCAAGAGTCCATAACAGGACAGTTGGAGCTGTATCTACAGGTTTTGGAAACAACTCTTTTACAGCCTGAAACATTAATAAATTCAGATAGCCTTAGAGCCTCACCCTTGTAATTTTTAACTTTGGTTAAACTTTGGTAATTTATCAACTAGGGCTGTGGGGTCTCTCACTCCAAATGGAACATAGTCTCCCAGCCCCCATCCACTGGTTTAAGTGATAACAAATAAGCACCCCTTGTCTGCCCTTTTTTTTTTTTTTTGTTGTCCATAGTTGTTTCAATCATTTTACTATTTTCCTGCGCAGTGACAGAAGTGTCACTATTGTATTCAGTAGTCTCATAACCCTCATCACAGTCTTTGTCAGTGTCCTCCTTGTCCCATTCAGTCAAATTATGGACTCCTTTCGGTTTTACACCTTTCTTGGAGCCTACCATCACCTTTTGGTCTTGTCTTTAGTCTCTAGTCCCTGTTGTTGTACTAGTTCTCTCATGACCTCTTTTTGACCCTTCATAGTATCACAGATAAATCTAGTTTGTTCTCTTAATTCCTGATTTTCTCTAAGCAATAAATCTTAGTCTATTCTCATTTGTTCCATTTTAATTTCTTCTTCTGTACTTTTTTTTTTTTTGTATACTTCCTTCCTCTATGTCTTTACCCTGTCAGTCACCTTCTCCCTTCTATCCTCTAAACTCCTTTTCAAGATATTGGCCTCTATTTTTGATATACTAATTTAGACAAGTTCATAGGAGTGTGTCCTACATTCAATAAGCCACAATGCTCACTCAGTCCCACTCATCTGAGCCAGAGTCTGATGGACTACATGGTCTCTGTCGCCTCTCCCCCATGTCTAGTCAAGCTTTGGGAATCCTCTCTAATGTTGTATCTAACTTTTCCTAACATTTCCTTTACAGGCGCCATTGTCCCCACAAGAGGCCTCAGTGTACACTGGGGGCGCAATAGGTGCAGTGAATAATGCGGGATAAATGCCAATATATTTTTCAACTGTATGTGGTTGTTTATCTACCTTCTGTGTCTTTCTGTATTGCTCCAATTGCGTCTGGGCTGCGGCCACCGTTGCCAATACATGTATCATCTGTCTTTGTCCTTCAAGTTCCTGAGCTGCCTTTTTCAACTGTACCTTCCTTTTCCATATACCCTGAGCCAATTTCTCCTCTGTTTCTCTCCTTCTCTTAACCAACCACCACTTGATACAGCCTTCAAGTCAAAAAACTTAAATTTTGTCTTCTTTTATACATTAGCTTGTTCTTTTTAAAAACAATACATTTTGTAATTACCTTAATTGGCTTGTTTCGTCTGATAGCTGCAAGCCATCTTCAGAACTGCCCCCATCAACACCTGTTGTGGAATTTCTAGACTACAAACAATAAAATAACTGAAAAGTTGTCTTAAATCAAGGAGTCTGATTTATTAAAGCAATTGTGCGCACTGTCATGGACCTGCCTGTCCCTGACTGAGAGTTGTCTGTCTCTAAACTATAACACAACAATGCATACAGATCTTTTATACTCACGAAGAGGCATAAGGCACAGGAATGATGCAGACACACATAATAAGACCTAACCTCCTCCAAGGACAGGTCAGCACAAGGCTGGGTCAGCAATCACTAGAATACCAAATTAGGAATGATATGAGCATTAGACATGATGAGGGCACAAGGCCAGAGTGCTCTACACAAGATAATAGGATTACAGCAAGTTTCTAGTTTCCATAACACACCAGTGACACTTATGAAGATATTATTGAAGTAACTGTCACCAATTGTCTCATCTCCTCTTCTCTTTCAGGAGGATATCTTGGTCTTTTGGATGGACGCAATGCAATCATCCACATGGACTAACGGACCGTGTCGACAGTTTGGACAACTTCAATCAACTGTCAACCAGACTACATGCAGTAATCATGGGAGCAACGGAGCTTGTTTTTTATCACCGCCCAATCAAAATGGACAATTTACTGTGGCCAGTATTGGGACAAAGCAGGTTTCTACACAAAGGAAACACATTGGACCTTCAAAGAATCACATGGGGTATCATACAAACTCCACACAGATCTCAACTCTGCAATGCTGTCCAACCGCCAATATGAACACAGGCATTAGGCAGCAAGTAATGTATGCACAGAAAACGCCAATGCCTGGAAACTCACAATCGTTTAGTATTAATAACTATGAAGCACAGGGAATGCAGCAAAATTTGAATCAAACTCTAATATCACAGACTGGAAATGTTCCTACCTCCCCGTCCACAATGCAGAGTATGTACCAAACTCGACAGCATTCTCCAGTTCAAAATCACATCTACAATCAGTCTTGCCAGCAAACGGTTCATATGTTACCTTCCTATTCACAAGCTGTTCTTACAGAAAATCTATACAGCAGATCTTCTCAGGGACCCAGCACACAACGTATGCAAGGTTACGCTGTTAGTGACCAAACCAACTACAATGCACCTCAGACAAATTACAAATGCGCAGTTCAAGCAGGAAATGTTCCTTTTCATACAAATAATACTAGCAATCTGGCTAATGCACACACAAATGTCCCAGTTCAAACGCAGTATAACTCTTATTCAAATCAGGAGCACATGCAGCAACCTATAGTCAGAGGCAAAAGAAATGTACAAATCACACAAAAGGTCATAAATACAAGTTGCAATGTTTCTTCAATGCAGCTACCATCTCTGACGTGCATACCAGAAAACTCAAACTATGACAAACTATTACATTTAAACAAAAGACCTGCTCCTCCGCAGACTGCACAGAATATGCCAACGCAAGACCACTCCGCTAATTCTTCACGCAATATCAATACGAAGTTCAATCAAAAAATACCAGAAAACTCAAACTATTTCACTGAACTATTCTATTTACACAAAAAAAATGCTCCTCTGCAGACTGCACAGAATACGCCAACGCAAGACCACTCCGCTAATTCTTCACGCAATATGAATACGAAATTCTATCAAAAAATGAATGATGTTCCAAAGGTGAATCTGAATGTGCCTCTGACCCAAACCTCTCCAGAGAAAAGATCTGAGGCCTTTGAAAAGATTGACTCGATTTCATCTGCCCAAGCTTCATGTGGCACAAATAACACTTTGCTAAGTCATACCCAGCGAGCCGTGGCGGTAGTTTTGCCATTGTCGCTAGAAGATTCTCATTGTCAGCTTTCTCCGGACAGTGATGATAACCCAAAGAAAAATGCACAACTTAGTAGCCTGCCTTTACAAAAGTTACAAAAGATGATTAGCAGTACCACTGAGAAAGCCATTATTCACAAAAAATCACCATGTCTGGCAAGTTTACTTGATGATTGCACAGCCAATCTTTCATCTCTCCCTCTTACTTTTGCTGAGTTAGTTAAAGAAACCCCTGAAAACCTGCAAATTACAAGATTGTGTGAAAAAAAGTTGAAGAATAATAAGACCTCAGCGGAGAATAAACCAAGTGAACAACCACTCTCCTCTGTACCAACCAATGAATGGACTTTGAAGACCCTGAGTGAGAAAATTTCCGCGATGGAGAATGAAAGTAAAAAATCTGCGAATGAACACCGACCTTATTGTGGGCGAGGGGGACTAATGCTATTATTATTGCGGTTTTGGAATGGTCGCTTGAAAACACTCTGCAAAACTTTAAAAAAACGTGATTTATTTCATTATACGACTGAGTTTAGGCATTTATGTAGGAAGGTCTATCCAGACACTGTAGTTTTGTCAGAAGTGAAAAGCCAAACTGATCTCAACAAATACTATATCCTTCAGCATGATGAAGTTTATGAGGAGAAAGTCCCTTACAGCTCCACATGGTTAAATATTAATAGCCAGCTTGATGACATTGATAAAGAGTTTGGCTTCCCCTATTTTTTAAAATCAAGTCAGTATGAGTGTGGTGACAATAAAGATACAGACATTCAGAGTGGACAAAAAGAAATTGTTCAAACCGGAGTCAAAACTGTCCAGCCAGAAGAACCTAAACCCCAAAATGAGAAGTCTGATCAGAGCCGTAAATCTGTGGCCAGTATGAGTGACAATATTGATGAAGAAATGACTATACTACTACAATCTAAAACAAATTCACATAAAGACAGTGACAGAAACAAATGTGAATCAAATGAGCAGTCAAGTGACCCGAGCTTCTTGTTTATAACTGAAGTTTTAAGTCCAGAAGAAGCAAAAGTTATCTTCGAAAAAACGGACAATAGTGATGAAGAAATGACTATACTACAATCTGAAACAAATTCACATAAAGACAGTGACAGAAACAAATGTGAATCAAATGAGCAGTCAAGTGACCCGAGCTTCTTGTTTATAACTGAAGTTTTAAGTCCAGAAGAAGCAAAAGTTATCTTCGAAAAAACGGACAATAGTGATGAAGAAATGACTATACTACAATCTGAAACAAATTCACATAAAGACAGTGATAAAAACAAATGTGAATCAAATGAGCAGTCAAGTGACTCGAGCTTCTTGTTTATAACTGAAGTTTTAAGTCCAGAAGAAGCAAAAGTTATCTTCGAAAAAATGGACAATAGTGATGAAGAAATGACTATACTACAATCTGAAACAAATTCACATAAAGACAGTGATAAAAACAAATGTGAATCAAATGAGCAGTCAAGTGACTCGAGCTGCTTGTTTATAACTGAAGTTTTAAGTCCAGAAGAAGCAAAAGTTATCTTTGAAAAAACTGACAATATTGGTGAAGAAATGACTATACTACTACAATCTGAAACAAATTCACATAAAGACAGTGACAAAAACAAATGTGAATCAAATGAGCAGTCAAGTGACTCGAGCTGCTTGTTTAAAACTGAAGTTTTAAGTCCAGAAGAAGCAAAAGTTATCTTCGAAAAAACGGACAATAGTGAAGAAATGACTATACTACAATCTGAAACAAATTCACATAAAGACAGTGATAAAAACAAATGTGAATCAAATGAGCAGTCAAGTGACTCAAGCTGCTTGTTTCAAACTGAAGTTTTAAGTCCAGAAGAAGCAAAAGTTATCTTCGAAAAAACTGACCACAACAGCACAGCGGAAAAAATGGAGCCTTCCACATCAGAAACAATTGCACCAAATGAGCAAAATGGTACTATGAAGCAAACGTGCAATCCAACTACTGTAGAAATGGTCTGCTGTCTTGACAAATTGAAGGAGAAAATTTTAGGTGTAACTTCAGAAAAGAAATGTGAGTGCAAAATGGTGCCAGATCAAAACAAAAAAACGCAATCAGTCAGTACAGACAACAGTTTCTCTACAGAAATTTCTGACTTGACAGAAGATGACGGCATTATGTCTGTAGTTCCTCTCCATGAACCAGGGGGAGTTATAGTTTTAAGTGAAAGCGATGATGAAATTCAAGTCTCTGAGGAGAATCAAACACCCTCTTCTAACCACACTAACGAGCAAGACTTCACATCTACAGAAACCTCTCTCATTGCAAGCCCAGACAAAAATACATTACAAACATCAATAGAACGCAAAAAGGAAGTGACTACAAGTGAAACTATTTGTGAAATTAAGGAACAGGGTGACAACTGCCAAAGAGGGGAGGGAGAGATCGTAGATTTGGAGAAAGAGGAAAAACAAGATGCACAGGTGCCCATACATTTCACCATCTCACCTCATCTCAATCTTAATGATAGTGTTCAGAAATATGTGAATAAACCCAAAATGGACACTGATTCTGATGCTGCTTTGTTACACTCCTCCAAAACTCCCAAACTCTCGTCTCCTTTAAAATCACAGACTATTTTCGAGAGCTTTTCAAAACGTAAAAATAATGAGCCCACTGCAAAAGCAGAATTGGTACTATTTGGGTCAGAGAGAAAAAAATATGCCCTTGCAGGTAGCAGAGGATTCCGTTCTTTGAGCGTCCAACTGCAGCCTCCTGAAAAAGTATATGTTAAAATGAACTCCTTAACAACAAGTGACAGTCAAGAAGACGCAGAGTCACAGAGTAAAATCTCTGTGAAAAGAAGGATACATGAAAGTTGGAGGAAGAGCTTTCCATTTAACCTAAAAAAAATAAAAAGGAAAAATAATATTTTTACTATAGTTAATGCAAGATCTAAAGTGAAGTGCAAAGATGTGAATTCAAAAAGAAAAGTAAATGATTCTGATGATGGCTTATGTCGTAAAAAGAGAAGAATTCGCACTGTCTCAGAATCTGTGAATTTACTCCACAAATGTGATGCTTATGAAGTAAAGTCTCTACAAGGAAATGTTTTGAAATTTAAACTGTTACCCAGCTCTTTCAGCTTCGAGGAGGAGTCCAAGAACAGTGATTCAGCTATGGATTCCACTGTAGGTACAGCTGATCTCCCATGTGTTAGAAAATATAGAAAATATTCTTTAAATGTCATTCTAAAGCTTGTCTTTTTATCAATAGATGAGAATACCATTCCTGGAAAAGCAGAAGGATAAGACTCCCGTTACACAAAGTAAGAGGGGTGACAACTTTAACCTGTGGCAAAAGGAGAAACTGAATTTGTCAACTGGACAAAAGTTTATTTGGTCGAATGCGTTTCCCAGCTCACCGAGCCTGCTTCTTCAGTTCAGTCAGCTGCTGGTGGACACTGACTATATCTGAAGGGAAGAGCTAACTACAGTGAAACCCAAAACATGCTACAGGTCTCCAGAAAGAACAGTTGATAGCTAAGGTCAATTAAAATACAGTGAATCAATGAACCTGCCCAGGAACTACAGGTGGAAATTAGGACTTGTGTACAATGCATCTCTTCTGTTAAGGTTAATGTAAAAATTGTGCATTGTCCCTGTCTCATTATCAGGGAATTTACCCAAAGACTTTAATCAGTGAAGGACAAGCCAGAGACGACACAGTGGTTCGTTTTACTTGCGCAAGGAATGCGAGAGCTACCTGCCTCAACCGAACACTGAAGCTCTCATCCTCCCCACAACTCTTTTATTGTTAAGCATCACACAATGGCCTTGACAAGTTACACGGCATGTTTTTCAGTTGTTATCTCTGACTAACAGATTACAGCTGACACTGCACCCGATTACACACTCAATTTCATATCACGGTTCACATACAGCTCCTTCTTAGCCTCTTTGGTTGCCGTGTCAGCCCAAATGCGTTAACAGTCATTAGCTGATTTTCTATAGTGTTAGCCCAAATGAGTCAGCTGGTGCATCAGCTGGTGCATCAGCAAAATCAACTGATGTTTTTATGGTTACATACAGTTTGAACAAGACACAAAGCAATTTTGATAATCTTACATCGTACAATGATTCAACATAGATTAATACTTTAAATGATTTAATGTCTCATAACACAAAAATTCGATAACACTCATTAAATAAATAAATAAGTCAACTACTCTGAAACTAACACACTTGTTTACAGTTTCTGTTTGTTAGTTAGACCTATTGAACTTGCACTGAGTGTGAGGTCATATTAGCAGAGTGACTCAGGGCCATAATGGAGCTTTCACACCTCTGGACCTGACCTGGCTATCCCTTTTGTTCTCTTGTTTGTTTTGATTTAGGTTTGAGGATGGAGTTGTAAATAGGAGACATGATGTCTGAGTCCTCCTCATCTGACCAGATAAACTTTTGTCCAGTTGTCAAATTGAATTTCTTCTTTTGCCGTGGATTCTACCGGGACGACTGAGGGATTGTACACACAACTTTAACCAATATTTCGCTATTTTGTGGTCTATATTATTATGTTTCCTGCTTAAAAACACACCTGGAGTTGTGTTTTGTTTCATTCACACATGTTTAACACAAAGCGTATTTAAGATGAGTTTTTCTCTCAAACACTCCACCTGTTCCATCTTATGATGTCATGTGGAAGTGCTCCACTGTGTTCTTAAACTCCATATACCTTCACTAAAATCATTTGGATGATTTCAGCTCTGGAACTGAACAAAATGTAGCTGTTAACTAGAAAACTACCATTACATCACATCACAAGGAGGAACAGAAGATGCTGATCTTTGGAGATGTTGACAGACGATTATTACTGTATAACTCAAACAGTTTTTGCTTTACAGGAACGTGGTGCAACGACTCCAGGAACAAGTCTGTAACACAAAGCCCAACCTCATCCCCTGAATCAAAGAGTCTTTTTCTGGAGTATCAGAGGAAACACAAAATGAGACTCAAGTCCACGGATGAGTGACATTATCTTAAACCCAGCATCATACTTAAACTGACATTGTGGTATCTTTTAAATAATCTTTTTTGTTGTTTTTTATGCCATTTGAGGAGAACTGATATAAGCTTGGAGTTATGGATTTCCAATGTGTAATCCTTTAAATGTTTGATATTCAAACCTGTACGACATAACCATTATTACCTCATTTTGTACGACTTTTATTACTTTAAAACTTATTTTATTTTTCTAAATAAATCTCTTGAGATTCAAAAACGTATTTGTCATTTCATTGCCACATCTAGACTGTGCCACTATAGGCTCCTTGAAAATGTGTATGGTATGTTCCTTTTATAAACAGTAAAGTATGCAAATCAGTGCCACTGAATGAACCAGTTTCTTGTCTGTGCTTCTTGTTGGCAGAAGATTCAGACACTGTAACATTCAGTACTAATCTTTGGCCTTGGTCTCTTGATAAGAGTAGGCAGGGCAATCAACAGGAGAGATAAAGGGCTCTATTGTTGCCATAAAATATAGGCCTATTACAATAATTAATATATTGACTTATTGTTCAATATATAACAGATGGGTCAGTATTCATTGTGTACATACAGTATTCTTAACACTACTGAGGAATGTTTGGTTATTTTTTGGCTATATGATAGGATTTAAGCTGCAAAAAGTTGAATTAATAAGTTTTATGACTCATTTCAGCTCCAAACTAAGTACTAAAAAGTGATTCATTCTGCTGTTTATTTCAGTTCATTATTATTATTATTTTTAAACAATATTGTAGATTTAGAATAATTTTTGCGGTTAAAATCTGCTCTTGGATTATTGTGTCAGAGGCATAAATTAGTTTTAATATTATTGATTATGTATATACTTACTTCAGTACTATATTGTACTTCAAAATTTGTTATTGTGACAGGCCTATGTGTGGAATAAACATTCAGAAAAGATAATTAATTGGTCTGTGCACTCATACTGTAAATTAAATATACAAACAAAAAGAGACACAGAAATTTTATTCAGAATTTGTCAAGGCCAAGATTTGTACAAAACACACAGCAGTATTGTCTAGGCAAGGTCAAGGCGACCCATATCACACACAGAAATATCTACAAAAAATGGCAACAAGTACCAAGCTGGAGATGTCCTTGGAGCAGCTGGTGATAAATTGATGTTTGAGGTATTTGTCTTTTTGTTAAAGGTGATAGGTTCACCTTTACACCTATACTCAATATTCAATAACAAGAGAGAAGACAAGAGATTAATATCTTTTACACGCGTGGAGGGAGTACCGAGAGAATAACCTTAGTTACATGTAACTTGCTGTTCCCCCAATACCCTCTAAAGTCTCCTCTCGTTTCTCCAAGCCTTTTATTCAGTATTAGGAGCCCTAGTTACATGGGAACTACTCATCTCAGAACGGGAGGGGGAACAGGCAAAACATTACAACATGAGTAGTTCCTTTTTGCTTTTTGGTTCAGGAAAAATCAAGTCTTGAAGTACCTTTGCTAGGAGGGCGTTCGCTGTCCATTTTAAAGGAGTTGTCATGGTTATTTGCTCATCATAAATTAATTTATGCAGTGGGTTAATAATTTCAGCGCAGTTTAGAATCCACTGTCTGCAATAATTTGTAAGACCTAAAAATTATACAAGTTGTTTTTCAGTAATAGGCTTCGGAGCAGAAAAATCACAGTTTTTCTGCTTTCTGCTATAGTTTTTCCTCCTGCATGTAAGGCGTTTTTGAGCTGTTGTTGATACGGACCCTGCGTATCATCACTTTCTTCTAATCCACTGTGTGTTTTAAACACTTTGATCATTCTAATTTTGAAGTCCTCAAGTTTTAGTTCTCTCTGCCAGGGCGTGTATTCTGACAGTCAAGTCCTGAGCATCATGTTTTAGAGATTTACCATCAGTTCCTGAGGGATCCCAGTCACCTCTGACATGGCTCCAATTGGAGCCCAGCGCAGCCATCCAGGCCTGCTGCGTCTCAAGACCATTTAATTTATAGGAGTCTCGGAGAGCCTCCATTTCAACACAGAACTGATTTACATCGTCTTTGTAAGGTGTAATGCCTTCTACGGCCTTCTTTACATCCTCAGCTTTCCAAGTTCTGTATACAAATATAATCTCACTCTGGTCTGCGAGTGGAGACCCCTGCCTAGATTTAAGCGGTTCTAGGTCAGGGTATGTTTTGTCTGAAGTGTCGTGGGAACTACTCATCTCAGAACGGGAGGGGGAACATGCAAAACATTACAACATGAGTAGTTCCTTTTTGCTTACAGGAAACACAAAAATAACACTTCAGTACAGTGTATTCAGGACAGAGTTAAGGTCAGTCTGCCCTTCCTCATTTCATCTTCCTTAGTTTATCTTCCTTAAGCAATGGTCGCCCAAGATGTTTCCTGTTATTGAGTAGATATGACTTTTATGACCTTCTGCAACTCATAATGTCTGCAATACTCAGAAACAGAATTGTTTAAGTGCACATATTAATACATTGATTATAATAAGATTGAGTAAACAAAAGTGAATATTACATTACCAGTTGATACACAGTGAGATTAATATAAATGTTGAATCCATCAAAAGGTCCACTGTATAACCTTTCTGGTGAAGGGCGCTTGTCTAAAGTCACACTTACCGGTAGCTATGTCCATTTATATAAACAGTGTCTCTACTATAAAAGTTAAATGTTTAAAGTGTAGGTCTGTAGCTCCAAACGCTGCTATAGACTAAACCATAGTTCTCCTCTCTCACTGATTGCGGGAGTTTATACTGGGCCAAGAGACGCAGATGCTGATGAAAGTTTTGCCCCTCAAACGCTGCTCTGCCTGGGTCTCCAATAAGCACTGTCGCTCCATGAGATTTAATGCAGCGATCCAACCAAGTGTGAAGAGTTGAGGCCAAGCTCTCATCGTAAAACATATCTCCCAGGAGAATCAGGTCAAAGGGCACGGGCTCTGAGTTTATCATGTTTTCGGTGGAACAAACTGGGGGCTCCAGGTTGTTCAGTTCTGAATTTATGACGGTCACAAGTCCTGCAACTTAAGACATAAAAATTATATTTAAGTATCTTGTAATAATCTAAACAAAAAGCCCATTAATTATCACTATTGCAGAATACTTGACATATACAAATTTCTTAACTGGGACAACACAATCAAATATGCAGATTTAATTTTGGTATACAAAGTTTTTAATAATCTTGCTCTACCTCCTGTAAAAGAGTTTGTGAAAAGAAATTCAAATTGCACAACAAGAGCAGCTCTAGAGCTGACTCTCTGTGCCGTTTAGGAAATGTGCTCTCTTTTGCTAATCGAGCAGGTCAAACATGGAACACAGTGCAGTTCATATACAAGAGCTTTCAACACTGGCAGCATTTTCTAAAGCTTTAAAACAGTGGTTGTTCAATGGTCAAATATGCCACCATGTTTAACCAATTTACATTTTTTTTATATTGAGGGGTTGTTGGTTTAACTCTTTAAATCTTGATTTCAAACTTCAAATGAACTGTACATAAATGTATTTATAGTGAGTTTGCTGGTGTTACTTTTGTGTGATTGTTGTTGTACTTTTCCCTGTCCTGTGGATGAAAATTAGCCACACTGGCCATAATCTTTACAAATTTACACTTTTAAATGTTCATTAATATATGCTGGCTCTTTACAAATAAATAAATAAATAAATAAATAATAAATAAATAAATAAGATTAAGACTAACCAATAATTTACACATTCCCATATAGCCTGGACAATTACACAGTTAGAGATATTAGAGAGATTTAAATAATCAATCAAATCAATCAATCAAACTTTATTTATAAAGCACTTTTCATACAAAAATGTAACACAAAGTGCTTTACACAGATTAAAAACAATCCCACATTTCCACCCACCCACCCACTAACCCAACCCCCACAGCTGCTCAACTCGACACAACCAAACATCACAGACACCCAAACACCCAACCCCCCCCCCCCCACACACACACACACATACACATTAACCTGCTAAAATACATAAAACGACACATAGTAAAATGTGAGGCTGAATACAGGCGAACCAGTTGAGAAAGCATCATCAGAGGAGCCGTCTACATCAGGAGCAGAGAGACGTCCACCACCACCAGGAACCACCACAGGAGCCAGGGGAGAGATGAAGCCCAAGCTCCAACTCTCCACCAGGAGCCCACGGGACAGACCCGACAGCTACAGCCGACCTCTGCTCCTGATGCAGAGGGCTCCTAATAATAAAACTATATTTCTAAATAATAAACTAAAGTACCCCTGGGCTTAAGGTGGCTGTGAAGATGCATAATTTGCAGTGACGCCTCATAAAAAATATAATAAAAATCATATATTTTTTTAATCCAGGTTTTATTTTCTATGTATATTCTATCCATGGATTTCAGAATGATGAAAAATTAGAGCCACAACAATTAACAGTTAATATAACTGTTATAATAAAAATATTTTATACTTTCAATTATGGAAAGTCCTGAAAAAAGAAACTGAGACCCGGTTAAATGACAGGTAGAAGTGACTTACTGGAGTCAATATCGTTGGCCGTGACATGTTTAGCACCACACTTTTTGGCTACAATAGCTGAAGCTCCACACCCGCTGCCCACGTCCAGCACAGATTTGCCTCTGCAAATCTCTGGATTATCCATTAAGTATCTGTAAAACAAATGGAACAGATTACCTTAAAACCAACAAATTATCCGTTTGGTGACATTATTATCGTTAACCTCGAAATGGCTTGTCCACCTGGCCAGTAAATTGCCCAGAATGGGTCACTAAAAGGCCATAATTCTGGTCTTTCTGTCCAGAATCTGCATTTTGGAGTAAAGAGCCTCAGACGGATCTCAGGGGTCAGAGACAGGTCACCCACGACCTCAGTGTTCTCCAAAATAAATCTTCGAACGTGAATATCTGTGTGACAGGTACGCGCTGAAATAATTCTTCCTTTTGACGTTTTATAAACACGAAAAAACACAGAAAGTACCGAGCGGTGCATGTTGACACTGTCCAGTTCTCTTCACAAACCCCCAACATACTTGTGTGGTGTAAACTCAATGAAAAACGATAAAGCTACACAACATTTTGGAGATTATCTGACAGAAAATAAACCGCCGAAAACACGTCTGCGTGATAAAAAACAGACAAGAGTGCACAAGAGTCTAATCCATAATAGTTCTTTTAATACATGCATAATGTAAACATTAAACCCGGTCACTTTTGAGCGTCGGACAAATTCCTTCACCTAAATGATCCCTCCACTAAATGATTTGTGGTTTTTAGTTCCTACGGAGAATAAACAGTGAAAATAGGCTACAGATTTTATTATTATTATTATTATTATTTTTAAATAATAATTTAATCTAAATAACATACTATATTTTAGACTCGTTTTGGGATAAGTAATAAAATAAAAAAGTAGAAGCAAAACAAAACAAAACAAAACAAAACAAAACAAACAAACAAACAAACAAAAAAAAAAAAAAAAAACCTTCATAGCCCGTCAAAGGCAAGGGAGAAATTCAATTTGTCAACTGAACACCATTTAAAAAAAATGTATTAACTGTTATTATTATTTATTTATTTTTTTATAAACTTTTGTCCAGTTGACAAATTTAATTTCTGCCTTGCCATGGATTCTACCTGGACTACTGAAGGATTTTACACACACAGCACACAGTAAAATATGTCTGTCTATGACTAAAGAAACCATAGACTGTGGACTGTAGATAACATATTATTATAAAGTTATTTCAAAGCAAAAAGGCAATAACCATGCCTACGCTCCATGGTTAACTGTACCAAAATAAAAGGCTGTCTGGCTCCCCCACCTGGTCACTCTCCGTAACTGCGCACCGTCTAATTAAAGAGTCCTGACAGTAAAATGAGGTTCCGTGGAAGTAAAGAACCAAGATAATTAGAAGCGCGTGTGTTTTTGGAGTCATATTCTGCTCGAGTTTCTAAATATGATGCAATGATGTCTCAGTGACTGTCACACATTTGGCTGCTACAGTGTGAGCAAAAGCTGCGCCTAATTTAAGAATTGCTTATGTAAGAATAAATAGGCCTAAATATCAAAGTCATAAAATTTTAGAATAAAGTGTAAGCCTATTGTAGTCGCTAGGAATGCAGCAATCCAGCCTTTTCAGTTCCACTACTGATATATCGATACTTTCACTTGAATCTGCCAATACCCGATACTGAACGATACTTGTGTTGGGATATAACATGGAAGATAAGATCACTTATTACACAAGAGATCCAGTTGTGTTATGGAAATGTCATTTATTCATCAAATAGCTCCTGAACAGTTTTATGAATAAAAATTTAAACATTATAAAATGTTCTAGGCCAAAGTCAAACTGTAAATGTTTTTTATTACATTCAGTTAAAGGCTGTTGTGGATTTCAAGCAAAAAAATTAAAGAATAAAATGAACTGAGATGTTGTCTTGAATTACAGTTTCTGATTTATTAAAGCAATAGTGCACACAATTGAAAAACTACCTGCCCCTGACAATCATAGCGATACATACAGAGCCCTTATACCCCAGAGAAAAGCATGTACATAAACCAGAAAACCAGTTTAGACTCGCATATGGAGGACAAATCCAGAACATTCTGTCACAGAGATTAAACAATGAAGATATTGGGACCAAGAGGTAGAGTTGCAGTACTCGAGACCGGTCTTGGTCTTGGGACCGGCCTTAAGACCATTTTTTTTTGGTCTTGGTCTCGTCTCGGACTCCACTGCATTGGGACTCGCTCTTGTCTTGGTCTTGAGGTGCTTGGACTTTGTCTTTTCTCAGTTTGAAGGTCTGACAAATCGACTAATGATAAAATGGAGATAGATTTATAAAAACATTGATAAATAGCATGTGCCAAAATAACTGTAAAATACAAATACATGTAGAAAATGACAAAGATGGTCTTGATTTGGTCTCGATGGGCTGTGATCTCGGTCTTGTGTCAGTCTCAGCCTTTAAAAGTCTTGGTCTTATCTCAGTCTCGACCCTCAGAGGTCTTGGTCTTGTCTCGGTCTCGGGACCCTGTGGTCTCGGACAGATCTTAGTCTTGATTAGCGCGTTCTTGACTATAACACTACCAAGAGGCCACGGTGAGCTGCACCATGACACATCTTATGTCTGTCTTACAATAGACCCAAATCACGGCTTAAGCAATATCATCAAACTGATGCCTGATCCAGAAAATGTCTCAGTGTCACCCCTGATATTCAATACCAGTGTCAGTATCGGTGCATCCCTTTAGTAGCCCTGTAGACCTTTATTAGACTCTTAGCCTATTGAGGTTACTTGGCTCAAATTAATTATAGCTCCATGTTCTTTGTGCTCGATTGCAGATTATAGACCTGCCACCTTTATCCTGCTCACTTTAGTGTACAGTCTGTAGTAAAGGGACATCAGCGCCTGCAGCTCCCTGTTCTTCTGAACTCAGATCTGTGCAACATCTCTATACAGGCTATTATTAGCAGAGTCCATCTGTGCACAAACTTTTTTCTTTGTTGTAAATTTTGTGTTGGCTACATAAAAATAAAACTGCTTATTGCCATTTCTTTTTTCTTTTTTTGGTCAATAACATATCCAGAAAGAAACACCATAATATAATGTGCTGCTATGAAAGGAGGATAAGGTTCAAAAATCAAAATGTTAGTCCTGTTTACACACCTACACCGTCACATATGAGTTCACCTTTTACTCAGGCTGCACACTGTACTGTAGTCCTGTCTGTGCTGTGCTGATGTCACTTTCCAAACCCGTTTAAGTGATTGATATTCAGCGTCCCATGTCTGAACATGTGTTTCTTATCGGCGCTCTGTCCCTGCCTGAACATTAAAGCGTCTGATTGATTGGTACTGGACACAGACATGACAAACTGGGAACTGTTGACACATGACAAATTGTATGTTCACATTGTGCATATTTCATTTTTACATTTATATACAGTAATTACGGCTTGTTTGACTCCTGTCTTTTGCTATTTTTGCTACTTATTTTTAATGTATTATAAGCATTTATAGTTTTACTCTTTGTTGTGATAATATATTGTGATTTTCTGTGTCCAAACAATTTTCCTTGTGGATCAGCAAAATTTGTCAAGTCGAGTTATTGTGAATGTGTTAAATAAAGTTTGACTGACTTATCTAACTGTTGTGTTTTGTTTAATGCCCCTTATAGTCTGGTGCGGTTTATATGTGAAAAAGTTCAAAAATAGACCATTCAATGACAGTGCGCCTTATAAACCAGAACATCCTATAGTGCAAAAAATACGGTAAATTTACACATGTTTAACTCACAAATCCTGCATATTTAGGCCAAGTTTTTCTCTCAAAAATAATTAAAACACAATTTCATGTATATTTTTGACAAAGTAACAACATTATTAGACATTTTAAAGCTCAATTTTTGCGTAATATAGGACCTTTAATAATGGTTTGGGTCTGGACTGACGTGGACTAAATGCATTTACACAAAGACATTTTCTCCAAAACATGACCACACATAAATCTCCATCACAATATCAGTTATAAAAGAAAATGCAGAGGGTAAATTAAATAAGAATGCAATATTTTTAAGTGGGCATACACAGAAATTTGCAGGATGATCAATAATACCATAATTCCCCTATGTCAGCATGTTTTCTTTATTTATAGAGAGTGTTTTTAAAGCCTTCTCTGCTTGATTCTGCTGATGGGGGCATTATTACACTGTACAAACCAAATTAACCCAGGCCACACTGGAGATGATTGACAACACAAATTGCTTCCAAACAGTGAACGGGCTGACAGTTCTCGCCCAGGCGCTTAAAATAGAGGCTATAAAGGCATCTGGGCTATAATGAGTTTAATTAAGAGCCTTTCAAAAGTGGCTCCATGTGTGAGAGTGCTGCAGCTTCAGAGGGGGGGAAATGAAAGTGTGAAATAGGGCTCCAACAATTCTGAATTTTTATGGAATTGTTTTATGGAACTGTTGACCATTATAATGATTGTAAATTGTTATCTGGACTATGCAAGAATACAACTGGCAAAAGATGTTTCAGTATGAAGACAGCACATTATTAAAAAGCTCAAATCTAGCCAAGTTAAGATGACCTGAATTAAGAAAGTGTTGTCATGATTTGAATAAATTTCACTTGACAAATAAAATTATCTGCCAATAGAGCAAGTCTTTTTGTAGTTAAAATATGAAAATACATCTTGCTACACTTAAAATAAGAAAAACAACAACTCTTTGCACTTAAAATAAGAAACAAAATCCAATGTTGCTTGAATTAAGAAAATTTGAATTGAAGTTAAAAGTAAAATGCTCTTAATTAAAGTCATTTTAACTTACCTAGATATTGTTTTTTGCAGCGTAACGGTTTGGTCTGGGTCCGTCACCTGCTTGTTTCTATGGAGATGTCATTGCTCTGCCTGGAATGTTCCACAGTGTGACATTAAACAGCTCTACTCTACATTTATTCAATTACAGGTGGTTTTATAATACTGGAAAAATAGATATTCTGACTGTGAGTGGGGTCGCCTCTCCGCAGATCTGACCTGTACCTTGGTCTGGTTTGGACTCCATGAAGATAGAGGGTGGCAGTAGCTCAGTTGGTAGAGCATTTGCCCACTAATCTGAAGGTTGGTGGTTCGATTCCAGCTCTCGACATAAAACATCACAGGTTCAGAGGTCAGATCCACTGACCCCACAGATGAATGCAGTCGTTGTGTCCTTGGGCAAGACACTTAACCTTAACCTTGCCCACAGTGTCTGCGTACACTGGTGTGTGAATGGGTGAGTGGTTCCTTGTTGTAAAGCGCTTTGAGTGCCTTGAAGGTGGAAAAGCGCTATAGAAAAATGTGACCATTTACCAAGACAGAAAGGTTTAATGTACATACTGTGGAACATTGAAAACAAAGCAATAACATCTTCATAGAGAAAAGTGTTTGATGGGCCCTCCATCAGAAATGTTAAACTATGCACCTTTAAATAAAATGCCAAAAAAGATAAAAAGAGATACACTGCCAGTTATTTATTGCAATTCAAGTTGTGCAAGTCCAATGAAGCGCTTGAAATGGTACAAAGGTAAAAACAGAACAGACAGAGGTTAAAAAAAGATAAAAGATACAAAATACAAGTCCAAGCTCTGCCAAAACTACCTCAGGAAAAAAGAACAAGATGTTAAGATTGAAAACATGGAGTGTCCAGCACAGT